GATAACTAGAGATGTGTGTTACACTATTCTGGGAGCCACAGAAAAGCGCGGGAAGGGTATCTTGGATGGAAAAGCTCATAACCCAACTAGACTGTCAACCCCTTGAAGGCAGATGGGGATGTTATTTCTGATGTAACATCAATCTTCCCATAATATGACAAGCTTAGTACACTGAGCCATGGTGACCCAGTGGACAGAGCACTGGGCCAGGAGTCATGAAACCGGAGTTACAGTCCAAGCTCTGCCAAGCTGTGTGATTATGCGACCTTGTCACAATTCCTGCCACTATATCTGTCATCAGGCCTTGGTTGCCTGGTTTACCCAAATGGCAGTTCTAATGGGCACTCCTGGCTGATCCCCACATTTATCTGTAAAATGACTGAAACCATAGGCTAAAAGATGTCTAACGGCCCTGTTAGCAACAAAATGTTTTAAATGTCCTCTTACAACACATGCTATTTTGGAGCCATAAAAACTTGTGGTCTGTAAGCCATTTAAGCTGGGGACAATTACCATGTGGTGATGTTATAGACATTCAGCTCAAAATCAAAACTGCTAAAAGCAGGTGGACAGTTTCAAGTCCATAATGTTCTGAAGAGCTTACATAATGGGCCACATTGTGTCCTACTGACGTTTGTTTCAAAAATAGCCTTCTTAGCAAAACAAGGTGCCCCAAACATCAACCTTGATTTGGTTTTCTTTAGAGGGGAAAAAAAGCGCATTTAAGAATCATCTGAAAAGAGGCTGATAGGCTTCTTTTTTCTTAAACAAATTTAATTCATTTGGACTCTTTCTTGAGACTTTGTGGCAAATACTGAAATCTTCTCTGCGAAGCTTTTTTCATCTCTGTCTTCATTTTTTTTTTCCTACTCTGATCTGTTTTACATGCTAAAAGCAGAAGAGAAAATTCCCTAAAGATAAAGCTGTGGTAATCTGTGTAGGTTTCATGTTCATTGCAAGAGCTAGTTTTCCTCCCCCCTCCTCCTTTTTTTCTTAAGCAACTTGCAAACTACAAGTGTCCAGGCCTGTGTTTTCACTTTTCTCCATTTGCATCATTGAAAGAGAAGTGAAAAACTTCCTAGTGCTGTAAGATAACAACTTCTAAATGAAGATGAGGACACATTCAACTTATGAGATCATCTGCCTTCACAGAGAGGTCTTATTCCAGCATGACAAGAGCGTCCATTTTTCACAGCCACAGGTTTTAGGGGAAAGTGGAAATCGGCAATTGGTTTGCCGTCAATTCCCTGGAATCATCTTGTGTTATTATCCCAGAAGGCATCAGAAACTTGTTCTGGGTTGGAAGAGGGAGGGCATTTCTATGAGAGGCTTCCGTAGCTATTGCTTTTGTCTTCAGTAGAAAGAACTGGAGGGAAAAGATGGGAAGACTCTCTCAGAAGGATTTTTACCTATTCAGAGTGCAGAATAGTGGTTTCTACATCACTAAACAAGGAAGGGACTGTCTAATTCTCAAGCTCCCTCACTCACACTTACCCACACTGGAAAGAGCGAGAGAATGTGGAGATTGGGTGGGTGTAGTACAGGGGACAGGCCAGAAGAGAAGCCAAAACCCAGTGAGAAAGCTGGGTCTTTGTCCAAACAGTGTTAGGACATCTGTCTTTCTCTATACCACTGGGACCAACGTCTTGCTCACTGCCAGGAGGGCACTGAGCTATTCACAGAAAGTGACAGGTTTTCTTCCAAGACACTAGAGAGCTCTGGCTATTGGGGCACAATGGGCTTGTAGAAATCACGTCAGTTACTCTGGCATGATAGAAATTGACACCTGGAATTCTTTGCCATACTTTTATGGCCAATCAGTCTTCCCTACAAAAAGGCAGAGGCACCAAAAGTCTTTCAACAAGTTTCAACTATCTTTTCCGATGGGATGGGTATCTAAGATAATGGTTAAAGAACATGGATTTCATAGTCAGAGACCTGGGCTCAAATCACTGTCTCACTACAGACATGAGACAATCATGTCACTTGGCATGAGACTTCACCTCTCTTGGCTTCAGTGTTTTCATCTGTAGAATGATGTTAACATGATGGCATCTTCCTTGAAGGTATGTTGTGAGGATGAAGTTACATAATGCCTATGGAGGATTTAGCACTGTGTCTGGTGACTAGAAAATAAGCAACAAATGGTAGCTAATAATACTAATAATACTACTAGTAAATAATGATAATGATAAAAGATTGCCTCCGACCATGAGCTAAATTTAATGAATATTGCCTGGGCATGACTGTGTATGTACCAGGCATTCATTCATTAGAACAAAAAGTGAGTATCTACTATGGACCACGTAATGTGCTAAGTGTGGGGGAGAGCTGTGAACAAGATAGGACCTCAGAGAGATCCTATGATCCTATGATGAGGGATAGAAAAGAGAAGACTTGACTGCCAATTCATGAAGAGGTTAGAGTTGTGTCAAGATGGTTCAGAGCTTCTCAGGGTCCTTAGGAGGCACGGCAGGTGCTCCGCCCCTTGTCCAGCCCCCTGTCTCTGGCATTGGAAGTTCTTCTCCTTCTCGAAGGACAAATATCATATGTTTGCACGTATAGGAGGATTAGGAGGAACTTGACGGAGGAACCAGGGGGAGAAGAAGGGCGGAAATGGTGGGGGGAAAGGGAGAGAGGCAAACCATGAGAGACTCTTGAATGCTGGCAAAAACTGAGGACTGATGGATGTGGGGGGGAGGGGGGATGGGCATGGAGGAGGGCACTCGTGGGGATGAGCACTGGGTGTTATGTGGAAACTAATTTGACAATAAACTATTTGTAAAAAAAAAAAAAAAAAAAGAAGTTCTTCTCCTTCTCATAACTGAGTTCACTTGAATCTCATCTGCAACTCAGCCCTGCTCCAGTTCCCAGGGTCAACCTTGACCCAAGACAGGAGGTTAATTGGCTCCAGCCCCATAGCTTGGTTCAAATTGCCTCGCTCCTTGTCTGACTGGAGGATGGTGCTCTAGTTTTGATACTTGAGGTCCAGTCTCACTTGAAGCCTTAATTCCTTTTCTGTGCCCTTATTTTTAGCAACGGGCTTCTGCCTTTGTACTTGTTCCTGAGGACCTGTTCCAAAAACGTTATTTAGTGACCCCAGTACTATCTTCTGATGGGAGAGCTGTACCTTATTCTTGCTGACTCCCATCTGAACCCCATCCAATCCAGTCCTTAGCCTGAACCTCAGTCCAACAGTTAATTTGGATGCTTGTTTCTTGCCACCTTCGTCTCAGTGTATGCGCCCCCTAGACTCCTCTGTCTTTCCCTAACCTGTTGTCCAGGCAGGGACCAGTCATTGCAAGTAAGTCCTGTCTGTTAGATCGAAATGTCTGCAGAACACGCTTGTCGCGACGAGCACCGGGTGATTACACAAGTGCTGAATCACTATATTGTACACCTGAAACTAATATAAGACTGTATGTTACCTAACTGGGATGAAAATAAAAATCAGAGAGAACTAAACATCTGCTCCCACCATCTACACTTGGATTAGCTCTCTAGTGGAGAGCTGGTTCACCCAATGGGCAGTTTTTATGCCCGGTTCTGCGTGGGCGGCTCACGATGCGACATTCCCAATCAGAGGCCAAAACCTTTTAAAGTAAAGTCACTGTGGAGTTCTGAAGATACAGCTGCACCCCTTCTGAAAGCCCTAATTATCAGTATAATTCTTCTGTACTTGGCCCATGGGCAAGCCCTTGGCAGAGCGATTCTGTTCCTTTATTAATTCATTCAACAATTATTTGTTGAACTTCCATTATGTGCCACGCTCTGGGATATTGACAGAATTCAGATAGGGCTTCTGTGCTCAAGGAGTCCATTGTCTAGTTGGGGCAAGTTCAGCTGAACTTGCAAACAGATCACTATAATACAGGTTCCAAAGCATTACAAGAAAGCAAAAAGCAGGGGTACCTAACCAGACTGCAGGTGGGTAAATGGGTCCTGAAAGTGGGGACACTTTCAGTTCTGGAGAACTGCTAGAGGACGGTAGCTGACTGAGAGAGGCAAAGGTACTTCCTGGGATGCCCTAAGTGACAGGTGGGCACCTTTAGGAAGCAACACATACTTGTCTACAGCTGGAACACTGAGTACAAACGGGAAAGAGTACAAGATGAATCTGGGGCGGTAGGCGGGTGCCAGATTATGATGTGTGCTATTTGCCATGCTGAGGACTTGGGGAATTTTATCCTGATTTTTTTTCAAATTTTAAATGTTTTTATAATTTTATTTTTTGAGAGACAGACAGAGCATGAGCAGGGGAGGGGCAGAGACAGAGGGAGACGCAGAATCCAAAACAGGCTCCAGGCTCTGAGCTGTCAGCACAGAGTCCGATGAAGGACTTGAACCCACAAACCATGAGATCATGACCTGAGCTGAAGCTGGACGCTGAACCAACTGAGCCACCCAGGCACCCCTTTATCCTGATTTTTTAAAGTGGAAAGTACAATAACGTGGAGATCTGATTTGCCAGGGTATGAGTAGAGGCAGGGAAATCCGTTAAATGACGGACAAGTGGTGAGAACCTTAACTAAAATGATAATAGTGGGATGAAGAATGTGTCTGGATATGAGAGGCAGAAGAGTAGAACACAGGACATGGCCACTGCCTAGAGAGAGAGAGAGAGAGAGCGAGCAGTGGGCAAAGATGGCCAGGTTGTGCGGGCAAAGTCGCTGAGGCAGCAAGCTGGGCGGTGATTCTGCTGCCGACACGGGGAACGCAGAAGATACAGACTTTCAGTAGCGGGCAGGCTGTATTTAACGTTGCCAAATAAGGTTCCCTGACTTTACTTTGCTTTTAGCCACATAATCCTGTTGCCCAAAGGGTGCTATTGACAATCCTACCTTGACAGAAGTCAACTGGGGAAGAAAATGTTGTTGTTGTTGTTTTTTTTTTTACAGACCACATGAACACTCTACAATTGGATAATTGAAAATGAAATCCTCTATCTTTGATAAGTGGAAAGCATAGAAGTAAATGAAAATAGAATTGAAAAGACTTACCCCATAGACAAGTTCCCCAACCATGCCATTCCATATTTTTGTCTCTGGATCCCGTGCGCCATATTTCCCATCGCCGACAATGGACAATTTGTATTTGATCCTCACGTGTTTGGCTATTTCATAGGCTAAGTCAACACAATAGCCTTCATATCTCTCATTTCCTTCCAGTTGCTCATGGTTCTTTTTATACATTACATATGGTGACTCCTTAGGGACCAGAGGAGGATCAAAGGATTACTCCTACACATTATTCGAAGAGATGATAGATGTAATCATAGTTTCCCTCCGCCCCCCGTGTGCCTGTTGAGGTTTGGTGTGTGAAAAGAACTTTAAAAAATGTTTGCGTAATAAGCAGAAGAACCTCAATCGACTGACTATTCACTGGGCTATATATTCCTTGGGGTCCTTAACTGATGATTTAAAGATGTAGAGAGGACTTAAGTTCTTTTTGAGGGGTTGAAAGCAAGACTAGTTTCCACTTGTAAAGTCTTTGATTTAGGCAAATTGGGTAGAGGTATTGCCCTTGCATGGAGGCGAACTGCCTTTGATTTCTTGGGATTTCCCACGCAGGAGCTGCAGCCAGCCCCGGCAAGCCCTCAAGAACCACCGTGATCTTTGTGAGGTCAGGGTCTGCGGCTCATCCGTTTTTACATCCTCACGGCCTAGTGCAGTACCCAGGACAAAATGACGATGTGACATGTCTGTTGGCATGAAAGGTAAACTTCAGCCGAGTCTCCATTCAGTTAGCACATCATCAGACCTAGTGGCATACTCATTTTCAACCCTGGTTTGTACTGCACGTAGGAAGAACATGCCAGTGTTTGGAAAAACATTTGAAAACTAAACGAGAATACTATCTTGCATGTCAACCATGCTTTGAATTTTGCAGAAAAGCTTTCAATGGTGAATATTGCCTTGAAACAGTCTTATGACATTATTATGCCCATTTCATAAGTTAAAAGAAATGTAACCCGAGGCTCAGAGAAGCTACGACTTGCACGGTTAAACACAGGTTAGTGGTGACCTAACATTAGAACCCTAATCTACTCTCTCTATCACATAATGCTGTCTCCCCCACAGTGAAGAATTAGATTTCAAGTCCAGATGAAACCTCAGTCCTTTAGTGTGTGTGTGTGTGTGTGTGTGTGTGTGTGTGTGTGTGTGTAGGTGGGGGGGGCAGGGAGTGGTAAAGAGGAGAATGATATATGGAACTGTCCCAAATTCCTATTCTCTTTCTCTTTTTTTTTTTTTAAAGTTTATTTATTTAGTTTGATACAGGGCAGGGAAGGGGCAGAGAGAGAGAGAAGGAGAGAATCTCAAGCAGGCTCTGCACTGTCCATGCAGAACCCGATGCGGGGCTCGATCTCACCAACCATGAGATCGTGACCTGAGCTGAAATCAAGAGTCAGATGTTTAACTGACAGAGCCACCCAGGTTCCCCCCCACCCCCATTCTTTTTATTTTTAAAAATGACATTCTGTTCATGATCACAGCAAGATACTTCGGGAGATTCCTAAGCTGACCTGTTGGATGTTTTCCCTGCTTGAAACTGAGGTCTTTTCTATTGGCTGAATACTGCTTTCCAGAAAGCAGAAGTCTTGCCATGCAGAAAGCCCTGCCTTCCCTCCGTACTTACCAGAATGGTGGTCACTACAATGGTCCGGTTCTCTGCGGATGCGCTGTCATTGCTGATTTGCTGATCTGAGAAAGGCACAAATCTTTCATACTCATTCCAGTAGCCGGCCTAGAAAGAGCACACATTCGACCTGGTTGCCTGTTTTTCACTCAAAAAGTACTGCATGAAATTCAAGTGCTGCTGTGGAACAAAACTTTCTGTTTAGTTGCTAGAGCTTTCCAAGCATTGATGTCCTGTCTCCCTCTCTCTTGCCCCACCTCCCACCAGGATCCCAACTGTGATACAAACCTTCATCCTGGGGGTTCCCATCCCCACCTCACCTTTACTGGTATTTTGTGAACTAACTGAGCCCACTGTAGGATGCTGCCTTTCGCTCCCCGTTATACGGCAGAAAAGCGCTTTGCTCTGAACCATGGGAAAGCTAGGATGTGAGGCTGGGAAACCTAGGAGGGTCCTGTAGAAATGACCCATGCTATGTTACATTCCAGGATCTTATCAGATGGCTGCTACATCCCTCATTTCATGCCTAACTTAACTATTAGTATGATAGAAACAAGGTAGTCATTGTACAAGTTAGCTGTAGAGAGAGGTACTGTGTCCAGAGTCCTATGCGGGGGTGGGGGGGGGGAGGTGTGAGGTGACAAAGATACCTGCTGCAGACATACCTACTTTCCGATTCTTTTGCTAAAACCATATGTACCTTGGCAGTTCGTTTAAACAACAACATGCTATAAAATTTGTGATTCCTTCCCTCTATTGTTACAAGCTGTTAATAACTCTTGAGTCTATCTCTTTTATTTTCTTTATTTTTTATTTGAGAGAGAGAGAGAGAGAGAGAGCACATGAGTAGAGGAGAGGGGCAGAGAAAGAGGGAGCGAGAATCTTAAGCAGGCTCCACCCTCAGCATGGAGCCCAATCAATGCAGCGCTCGATCCCATGACGTTGGGATCAAGACCTGAGCCGAAGTCAAGAGTCGGACGCTGAACTGACTGAGTCTCCCAGGTGCCCCAAATCTATCACTTTTATAGGATGAGCCTCACAGGGAAGCGCCCCTCCCAGATTGCATAGATGGAGCACTTTGTTCACAACAGAACTCTGCATATCTACACTATTTGCCAACAGAAAGGCAAAAACGATGTGTGGGAATTTGCTTTGCGTGTGTTTTCTAACATCTCTTTTCTTGCACCTGGGTGCTCTCACCGTGTGAAAGACGTTTTCTTTGGATACCTGTTTTGGTTACTTACTTTTCGCGAGCCAGCGACTCTCATCTCGTACACGTCGATGGTATAATTTGTCCTACGTCCGTAAGTGTCAAATTGGATGTTTCCAGTCATTCCTTGTACTTGTACCTGGTAGGAACGAAAAATGTACAATTTTAAAATAGCACCACATCGTTGCCTTCTGGGTCTCTGGGATGAAGTCCACTGACAGATCTTAAGAATCCTGGAGAGGGGCGCCTGGGTGGCTTAGTCAGTTAAGCGTCCGACTTTCGCTTAGGTCATGACCTCGCGGTTCGTGGGTTCGAGCCCCGCGTCGGGCTCTGTGCTGACTGCCAGCTCAGAGCCTGGAGCCTGTTTCAGTCTGTGACTCCCTCTCTCTCTGACCCTCCCCTGCTCACGCTGTCTCTCTCTCTCTCTCCTAGAAATAAATAAAACATTTAAAAAAAAATTAAAAAAAAAAAAAAAAAAGAATCCTGGAGAACTTTTATCTTGAGTCATTGAGCTAAGTCCACCAGATCGAGTCCATGTAGATCTTCATTTCCTCTCCGGCATTTTCTAGGTGTGCCCTTTGTGAAGCTTTGAGTGGGTGATAGAAGTTACCTTATGATACAGGGAAGGCCCTACCACCACTTTTTCAAGGGTCTGAGATTCCTACCATTAGTCTCTTCTCAAGGGACCAGCCTGAGGGTATCCTTAACCAGCGTAATGCATTCTTCTAACTGTGAGTTTCATGAGGACTGTGGGCGTGTCTTAGCATTCCCAAAATAACATCTCCCGGTTTCAGTAATAGGGACTCTGGAGCTCCTGGATTCACATTCCAGCTTCATCACTTACTAACTGGATGACCTTGGATGTGTTCCCTAATGCTTTTGTACTCCAGTGACCCATCTGTGAAATGGGAAATCCCACTAGTACCGATCCCTCAGAGCTGTCGGAAGATTGAATGAGTTATACACGTGTAACGTTCAGAACAGTGCCCGCCATGTAGTATGCATTGTGGGACGTGCTGGCTACATTAATAATTATTGAGAATCAAAATGAATTCGGTTCTGTTTCTTGAGAGCATAATTTACCAGCCTCCACAGTATCAGGGATGGAGTTTCCTCTTCCTTGACCTGTGCCCAGCTACAAATGGGTAGCAGCGAGCCAGGCCCTGGAGGGATAAACCACACACGGATGAAATTTGTGAAGTCTAAGGAATCAGGAGTATATAGTCCTAGAGGAGAAAGACAGAGGTACCGGAAGAGCCTGGACACCTCTGTGGGATGCCACCTGCAGATTCACATATGTCACAATGTTTCCTGGGTCTGGTCCCAGTATTGTGAACCAATAAAAGGCCACCTCTGCCAGGTGGAGAGATTTCCTCACCAATTATTTTACGGTGCAGGGACATTGCACGAAAGACCCTCCATAAGTATAAGTCACTGCAGTGATTCATCTGGTAAGGGTCAAGGCGTTTGCTTCAAAGAAAAAGCGTCTGTCTCATTTTCCTAGGATGACAGGACAGAATACTTTTTTATCACTTATAGAAAGTCACAAGCTACTAAGCAAGCCAGAAGTGGTAATGGGCTTGGGCTGCAGAAGGGAAAACCGAGGTCAAATATTAGGGAGCATCTTTTGAGAGGGAAGGGAGCTTGTTCACCAGCGATCAGAAAAGGACATTCCTGTTGAAAGAGAAATGCTCCAATGTGACTTCCTGAAGACAAGATGATTGTCCTACCAACCCAACGAACCTAAGCACTACTGTCAGCTCAGGCTTGCAGAGAATGTGATGTCACACTTCCGGCTAAAGTAAAGGTCCCTTGTTGAGATAGGAATTGCTTAGCCTGTCTGGGGCATACTGTGGTGCATGAAGGGCTCTTGTCACTCATTCTGAGCTTTGAATTCTAGGAGAGGAGCTCGGTTGGGCAGACACACTGGCATAGAGCTTATTAAGGAAATCCTTCATTCCTGAAAATAGCAGAGGCTTCAAGTCTCATTAAGGATTGTCTATTTCTAAAGATCTAGCGTATTTAAACACAGCAGACAGACCGGACACCACTCTAGGTACGTTCTGGAGATTCGAGACTCCACGATTAAGAACAGAAGTAGCATCAGAGGGAAGTCTATTTTCAATGATGTGAATGTCAGTTACAGTTTCCCACCACCCGACCTGGGGACCTTTCTCGAATCCATCCTGCCCTCCACCCCAGCCTATTATTAGGAGGTGCTTCTCTTCTGGGTTCCCACAGCACCCTCTGGAGAACCTAACCGTAACATTTTAATCATCTCTGTATTTCCATCTCCCTTACTAGATTGGGAACATCTCAAGATGAGAGACCTTCTTTTCCTGTGCTCTCAGCAACTAGGACAGGGACTGGAATAGAGCAGGTGCTTAATAAATGTTTGCTGAACAAAGGGACAAGCTTTAATGCTTTCGAACATGACATATTCCAGCAGGCTAGGCTCAGGCTGATCTTTGCATACTCTGTAGATTTTGAGGAGAATGATCACCCGATTTTCAAGTGGCTCTAAGGTCTTTAAATACATTTGTTTACATTATTAACAATAGTTTAAGTTCATTTATTTTTTTAAAATGTTTTTTTATTTATTTCTAGGAGAGAGAGAGAGAGAGAGAGAGAGAGAGAGAAACAGCGTGAGCAGGGGAGGGTCAGAGAGAGAGGGAGTCACAGACCGAAACAGGCTCCAGGCTCTGAGCTGGCACTCAGCACAGAGCCTGACGCGGGGCTCGAACCCACGAACCGCGAGATCATGATCCAAGCGAAAGTCGGACACTCAACCGACTAAGTCACCCAGGCGCCCCTAAGTTCATTTATTTTTGAGAGAGAGAGAGACAGAGACAAAGTGTGAGTCAGGGAGGGGCAGAGAAAGAGGCAGACACAGAATCATAAGCAGGCTCCAGGCTCCGAGCTGTCAGCACAGAGCCCGACACAGGGCTCGAACCCACGAGCTGCGAGATCATGACCTGGGCTGAAGTGAGACGCTTAATGGACTGAGCCACCCAGGCGCCCCTACATATTAACAATTTAAGTGTGAGCGCTCTGCACCTTCTTTCGTGTTTGCATGCCAACTTTGAGCCGGATATACAGTCATTGGTGCTCAAGAACTATTTACTGAATGAGTGGTGTGCTTATTTATTCATTAAGACAGGCCCCTTCGGAGCCTCTATCAGGCAATGGTTTTGTTTGCCAGATTTCTTCGAAAGAGGAGAATGATTTATTGAGCAACAACTACGTGTTAGTCGCAGTGAGGGGGGCATTTACACACGCGTTGTCACTTTCAATTAACTCAGATAAAGTGGGATTTCTTTTACTATGGTAAAACCTTTAGTACTTCAAACCATCCTCCCTCGCAGTCCCTCTGAACTGTGGAATTTTACTGAGCATTTATCACAAGGGGAACATGTGCTTCTGGAAACGGTTGATACTTCCCAGCCTCTCTGCCGCAGCAGGAAGAGGTTGGCCTGGAGAAACTGGTAAAGCATCCCTTTGGTTGAGTGTTTGATCCTCAGGGACTGGGAGGAAGGTTACTTACCAGGCTTACAGCTCGAGCTTTATCAGTGAGTTAGTCGTGCAGAAATGATTTGTGCAATAGTGGGACCAATCTAGTTTTTTCCCTAGCCAGATGGGTTTCTTTTCCTTCATTCTGGTAGCCATTTTCTATCTGTTGTTTGTGCCACGAGTGGGGAGTCCCCTGGAGATGCTGGTACTTGCCCCTTGAGGGTTACTCGATGAAAACCCCTTTGGATTTACTCAGAGGGAGTTTTGTATTTCACTCATCATTATGTTTCACCTGACAGTACAAATCTTGTAACTGCTATGAAGGTTGAATTTAATTAACTGCTCTTCAAAATTGTGCAGTGCTACCTCCATAAAACTACACTTAGGGCATTTGTTAGGGAACTGACATAATGACATAAAAATCTGCATGATGGGAGAATGAGCCAAACCTCTTTCTTGGACAGAGACACAGGGCTACTAACCCCTTTTGATTGAGTGCTTCCAACTTGGCAAATTTAAGGCAGCAGTAGGAGAGCCAACTACACAAAATGACGTACGTTATGAGGCCATTACAGAGTTGCGGGGCCGGGCACAGAATTATCTTATCATTGCCTATCGCTTTGTTTCTTTGGGTATCCCAGACACTGGCATAAGTACGTAAGTAGAAGTAAGAGACGCTTGTACTCTCAAAGGCTCATTTTAATGCAGGCAGACGCATGTAGCGTCAAACAGAATATTCAGGAAAGAGCTCTTGCTCAGAAAGCTGCAGTGAATGACCAACGCTGCTCCTGGTGTAAAGAAGGAGATCTGCTGAAAGGGCACTTCCTGAAGCCTTAAGTGTGCTCCTAAGCAGTAAATACTAAAAACAAGTGACCTATTTGACTGTCTCTTGGTTCCTTGTACTTCTCTTTAGGCTTTTTCTCTGGGGCATCGGGGGATAGCTTCCTAAGTAGGCCTAGAAACGTGTCAGGTTTCTGCATTTCACCATGTAGAGTAGCATGTGTCAAGGTTCTTTCTGGCAACAGAATGACTACCACCCTGGCTCAGTCCCACAGTCCATCCGGGCTCATACATTGATGAGCCAGAGGATGCTGTTGTCCTTTGTAATGTCCACCTTTGGGGCAGGGGCTTCCTATAGGATATGCCAGTCTCCCTAAAGTTTAACATTCTGGAAGTTGTTTACAGGTCCAGTCCACCAGTTTTGAGGGTACTGGGTTTGATCGACTGTCCACAGGGTAGCACGGAACTAAATATTCATTTGCCCTCAATTAACAGTGTTTCAAGCTTCGAGGAAGAAGCTTCTGGTTTGGGATTTCTTGATTTTGATGAATAAGTGTCCACGCTCATCCTCTGCATGCTCTGACCTTCTTAGACTCCGGCTCTATTCCCTTTAGGATGCCTTTTCTCTAGACTGAAGCCTCACTTTCTTGCGTGTCTTCATAAAGCCCCCCAGCCCCACCCCAATAGCCCATCGTGGTCTTTACCATTTTTAGAGCTCTCTCGATGTCAATTCCTTGACTCCAGGGCACAGCGGGATTTGCCAGGCAGTCTCCAGCACTGCCCCTCCGCGACACATCCACTCGCTGCCTCCTCAGGTAGCGGAAAGCTTCTGCGATGACCAGGATTGCGTCGTGCGTCAGTGCAGATGTATACTGAAACGGATGTATGGAAAACAAGGTACCGTGACAAATGACGTGCCTCGAAACTTGCCTTGCTCCTTAGAATTTTCATTTCATCTCCGCCTTTTGCTCTATGAAGTCACCCTCTTAATTATTTGAATCAAGAGATCTCTCAGGGCAAGCCCGACTTTGATTCATTCTAGAATGACGCCTCTTACCTCATGTGTGCACACGTTAAGATTATTGTTATTATTATTTTAAATATTTTTATTTATTTCTAGGAGAGAGAGAGACAGCGTGAGCAGGGGAGGGTCAGAGAGAGAGGGAGACACAGACTCCGAAATAGGCTCCAGGCTCTGAGCTGGCAGTCAGCACAGAGCCCGACGCGGGGCTCGAACCCACGAACCGTGAGATCATGACCTAAGTGAAAGTCGGACGCTTAACCGACTAAGCCACCCAGGCGCCCCAACATTTAGTGTTTTTCTATTTCAGTTTTTTTTTAAGACACATTTTTTAAAAAATATTTTTATTTATTTCTAGGAGAGAGAGAGAGAGAGAGAGAGAGAGACAGCGCGAGCAGGGGAGGGTCAGAGAGAGAGGGAGACACAGACTCCGAAACAGGCTCCAGGCTCTGAGCTGGCAGTCAGCACAGAGCCCGACGCGGGGCTCGAACCCACGAACCGCGAGATCATGACCTAAGCGAAAGTCGGACGCTTAACTGACTAAGCCACCCAGGCGCCCCTCACACGTTAAGATTATTAAGATCGAATGGCTCTAGGGAGTCTCTCTCTTGCCCTCAGTACTGTGTTTTGTATTGAGTGAGTGACTACTAAAAGCTCAGGTCCTTAATAGAGAAAAAAAAAAAAACAAAACAAAACGTGTGCAGCTAAAGGATGGCATATGTAGATTGGTTATTGCTGTTTGTAATAGAAAATTCAGGTCTGGTGTTTACTTAGGGGAAAATGGAAATAGCTAAGTTAGACAGCTTGAAATTAATTTGGAAGGAAACATTAATCATTTCTGTCTGGACCATGTTTTTGGCGAACTAGGACCTCTGGCCAGCAATAAATCAGTTTTTGTTTTGTGGGGGGAGCAGAAAACCAAAGCTGGTTTTCGATTGTAGAAAATTACAATTGTTACTGAGTTTTAAATCTGATAATGGCGACAATTCACAGGCAATACTTCACCATGCTACCTCTTTCAGGCAAGATGACTTTGTTTCTGTTTCTTGGATACACTGACGGGCTCTACTAGGAATGAGGCCTGTCACTTAATACCAGGGATTTGATTATCTGCGATTTGACGAGGCAGATGCCTTTTCATTACATGAATCAACAAAGTGTGATTAAAATAAGCTGGCCCCTGTTTTGCAGGGGTGACAAATGCTGGGAGGATATAGAATTCTATCGATTTTTCTAATGAAGCAAAATGTCCTGGGGGGGGTTTTCTCTCTCTATAAGTATGTCCAAATACAGCTGGGCGTGAGTACCTTGTCATCTTTACAACTATCCATTTAGTGTTTGGACTTTTCTCATGTTCCTTTTCTTTCAGGAGCAAATCTTCAAGTGTGACCATAACAGGGGGCATATGTTCTTTCATGGAAAAAAAAAATCTGCGTCTGTCCACCCCAGCACAAATCAAGCCAACGTGGTGGTGATTTCTTTTCCAGCTGACTGCATAAATTGTCAGCAATTGCAAGCCATGCCAAAAGAGCTATTTAATTTTCTACTTTTTCAGCTTCTCCTTACCAATGTGTGAGCGTGTTAAAAAAAAAAAAAAAAGCCCCAAAAGGAAACATTCATAAAATATAGAATAAATGAAGCAGCAGGATTTTAATCTTGAGACAATTTTATTTCCTAATCAAAGATGTTGTACATCATTTTTTTTAAAGTGGGCTTTTTGTCTGATTGATATAGAGTAACTTTCCATGACTAATACGAAGCACAAGGAATCTGAAAGCTGAACCATCTATTTAAATGTTCCATTTCTTAGGGATGGCTGGCCTCGTCCCTAGTAGAGCCCGTCAGTCTCTAGAAGGAATAGAAACGCAGTGTTCTTGCCTGAAAGAGGTAGCATTTGAAGGGTTTCACTTATAAACAGTTCTTGTCAGCAAGTTCGGAGAACTTTACTTTATACACACCATAAGTTATCAAGGACTAAGCCAGACCTCAGATTGTTTTTCTTCTCCTTTGCAGAGCCTCTCTAACTTCTGAGCAAACACACGCTACCCTGCGGACGTCTTTTCCTCCTTTTACCCTCGTCCGTTGTTTTGTGGCTGACACAGTGCCTGACACATATCGCATAAATGAGTTCCTTGCTTCTACCTATTTCCTGCCAAATCTGAGGATGGCAAAGCAGGGGACAGGCAGTCTATACAAAATCTAAATCTGTGTAAGCTCACGTAAAGGTGGTAGGTGGATTTAGTATATTAAAAAAATTGGAATCATCAAGGAAATGCAAATCAAAAGCACATGAGGTAGTGCCTCACGCCTGTTATGATGGCTATTATCAAAAAGACAGGAGATACTGAGTGTTGGCAGAAATGGGGGGAGAAAGGGGAGCCCTCTTGCACTGCTGGGGCGAATGCAAACTGGTGCAGCCACTCTGGGAAACAGTATGGAGACTCCTCAAAAAATTAAAAAGAGAACCACGGTGCAATCCAGCAATTCCTCTTCTGGGTATTAATCCAAAAGAAGCAACATCACTATTGCAAAAAGATATCTGCGCCCCCACATTCAGCGCAGCATTATTTACAGTAGCCAAGACAGGGAAACAGGGAAACAACCTAAGTGTCCATCAACACATGAGTGGCTAAAGATGTGGCACATACAGCCAGTGGAATACTCTTCTTCGGCCGCAGAAAAGGAAGGAAATCCTGCCATTGGTAGCAACATGGATGGACCTTGAGGGCATTATGCTAAGTGAAATTAAGTCAGACAGAGAAAGACAAATACTGGGTGATCTCGCTTAAATGTGTAACCTCACTTAAATGTGTAAACAACGAACCCTGAACTTACAGAAGCAGAGAACAGATTGGTGGTTGCCAGAGGTGGGTGGTGGGTGGTAGGGGATGGGGGACATGGGTCGAAAGGTGCAAACTTTCAGTTACAAGAGAAATAAGTCCTGGGGATGTAATATACACCATGACTATAGGTAACAACAATACTGTATTTATTTATTTATTTAGGAGAGAAAGAGAGAGAGCATGAGAAAGGGAGAGGAGCAGAGGGAGACAGAGAGAGAGGAGAGAGAGAGAGAGAGAGAGAGAGAGAATCTTAAGTAGGCTCTACACTTAACATGGAGCTCAACGTGGGGTGTGATCTTATAACCCTGGGATCATGACCTGAGCCAAAATCAAGAATGGGACGCTCAACTGACTGAGCCACCCAGGTGCCCCTACGGTGTTGTGTTTTTGAAAGTTGCTAAAAGAAGTAGAGTTTAAAAGTTCTCATCACAAGGGGCGCCTGGGTGGCTTAGTCGGTTAAGCGTCCGACTTTTGCTTGGGTCATGATCTCGCGGTTCGTGGGTTCGAGCCCCGCGTCGGGCTCTGTGCTGACTGCCAGCTCAGAGNGCTTGGGTCATGATCTCGCGGTTCGTGGGTTCGAGCCCCGCGTCGGGCTCTGTGCTGACTGCCAGCTCAGAGCCTGGAGCCTGTTTTGGAGTTTGTGTCTCCCTCTCTCTGACCCTCCCCTGCTCACGCTGTCTCTCTCTCTCCTAGAAATAAACAAAAATATAAAAAAAAATAAAAGTTCTCATCACAAGAAAAAAAATGTAACTACGGTGGTGATGGATGGCAACTAAAATTATTGTGGTGATCATTTTGCAATATATACACATATATTGCAATATATACAATATATATACATATATGGAATCATTATGCCAAATACCTAAAACTAATAATAATGCTATATATCAATTATATCTCAATAAAAAATAGACTAATTATCCTGAGAAAAAGACCTGACTGAGAACCCTAACCCTAACATCACAGGGATTGAGACCATATTTGCTGAAACATATGAGGACATGTGATCTAACCATGGGACAGAATATTTTAAAAAGGGGACTGCCCTAGGGAAATCTGGCATGTACACTAAAACCACTACAGCCACAGAATCCCACTCAACTAGTGAGTGGCTTAAATGAATGAATAAATTAGGTTTAAGTCACAACTTTTCTAGAACATACCAAGCGTATAAAGTTAGGGCCCACTTATATTATGTTCTGATGTGATTCATTTAGGGTGAAACTGACGAGGTGATACAGAATGCGTCTGTTCTCTGGTCCCCGGCCCTGTTGTTCTTTTCTTGCCAGGGAGAATGTCAGGATGGGTATCTTCAAACCATGAGAAAAGAAATATTCACCCCCTTTCGTTTTTTAGGGAAAGGCCGTAACTGTACTTTGATTCCTGTTCTTGATCACAGGGACCCAACAGCTATGGTACATACCTACTTTCACTATACAAGGAAGGAAGACTTTAACGTCAGTTTCATACTTATGTGCCAAGGGAATGGTTACTTAAAACATACACTTGAGGGATCCTTTTTGTTGCACGAATAACTTTCCCGTAATTTATCTGTTTTATTTCCTGATTTTTAAATAACAGGATTTCTAGCCATAGGGGAACACGTGTGAAAAATGTGCACTCTAAGCATGACTTTCTGCCTTTAATATTCTGATTTTGATTTCATGAAAAAGAGCAGCTTAGGTAATCTAATTATTTTTAAAGATACTTTTCCAGGCAGGAAAACATTTCTGTTCAATATACATACATATAGGCACCATGCACTCTGTATTACAGCCCGATTCACTCGGGTGTACCGAGATTCATGAAACTTATTAACACAAAGTAATCACATAAATAATGTAAAATCTAATTTTCTGTTGCAACTATCAATCTTCCTTACCTATTCCCACTGCCGCCACTCTTTGCCCAACTCAGGTTCTTGTAATATTGTAAATTGTTATGAGCATGTTACAAATGAAATTCATTAAAAAATTAGTTAACATTCCCAAGCCCCGGGTTTTAAAAGACCTCCTTCTCCTTAGCGTCTTTATTTGCAAGTTTAGTTTTCAAACGCAGCAGCGGCACCTGCTATTTGGTTTTAGCATCCTTAAAACACTTCTGAGCGAAGACCACTTGATCCCAGAAAGCCATAAATATATAAAGGCCATACTGAGATGCTGTGAAAAGCTGGCCTAAGGTTTCTGCATGCCATGGAGCATTACCTTTAGTGGTGCGTTCTTGGCTTCAGGGAATTCCCTTTCATCTAGCCTCACCCAGCGCTGAATAAACTGCTGAACCATAGGGTTTTCGTTGTTGACAATCTGGAATCCGGTAATGTTGGCTCCCCCATGCATGACTCTTTCTAGCAAAATATCAGTAAAACCCTAGAGAGGGATCAAAAGAGAATCATCATTGTCGGAGTTCGTGAGTTCTGACCGCACCTGTTGGTTAGAATGCTAAGGGGGAAATAGAAGGTCCTTCCCCCAGGATCACTCTTTACCAATCAAGAAAACCCTGGACGCAATGTTATATGTCAATTACATCTCAGTTACAAAATCAACAAGGATGATGATGACAAGTACCAAAAAAGTGCTGGATGTAGACTAATTCTTAGGGCGGTGTGTCTCCGAAACTACAGGCATGATGGAGAAAATACGCATTCTTCCATTTTAGTGCCCTGTGTCTTTATTTAGTATAACTGCTGCAAGGACAAACACAGGTGCCAACTCCAAGCAAATGTTTTGTTTCATTTACCTGTATTTTTAGTCTGTCTTCACTGAGTACAAATACAATGCTTCCTGTAACTGCGAAAGTGTTGCAACGTTTGACCCTGACTAGAGGTATAAAATCCTTTTCTTCAGCTTAACATGCCAAAGAAAGCAGATTGCTTTAGGTTCTAATGACGAGTACTTTCAACATCTGTGACTTACAGAAATGCCAGAGAGAAACTGACAGCTTGGTAGTGTATGATGGTACAAACCCAGGGTATGTCTCTCCTGTGTTTATAAACAAGTCTCGCCATCTACTTCGGGTCGCCCACCGTTTTCTTCTCTTGTTCTAGTACCACCTGGTGTCTCTGTCACCTAAGCCTCCTAAAGGAATCTCTTCAGGTTCACACCGAGCCATTTCCGCCTGGGTGCCACCAGCCCCACTGGCCATTGCTCTCTCCTGGAACATTTCTCCCAGGAAATGTGCTATTTCTGCTGGATACCTGTCTCTTGTTAGTTGCAGTGGATGCATTTAGGTCCTTAATGGGCTGAAGCCAGCATTTATATTCATAAAGAAATGGGGAGAATTCTTCCTCCCTTCTTTAGACTATCTTGTTCAACATTTTAATATAACACTTTCAAATACACAAAGAAATTGAGAGAACTGTGTAGTGAATACCCATATAGTCTCAACTCAGAAATTTTACAGTTAGTATTTTTCTACCCATCCATCAATCCATTTCTTTTTGTTCTTCAAAGTTTTGATTATTATTATTTTCAAAAATTGTATTTAAACCCAAGTTAGTTAACAGATAATGTAATCATGGTTTCAGGAATAGAATTTAGTGATTCATCACTTACATATGACACCCAGTGATCCATCAATCCATTTCATTTTTTTGGATGCATTTCAAAGTTATAGATATTAGTATACTTCACATCAAAAGGCTTTGGCAGGCAGATCATTAACCAGAGTTCAATATTTGTTTGCAATTCTTTTTCTTTCTTTTCTTTTCCTTCCTTCCTTTCTTTTTTCTTTCTTCCTTTTTCTTTCTTTTTTCTTTCTTCCTTTTCCTTTCTTTCCTTCTTTCTTTTTTCTTTCTTCCATTTTTCTTTCTTTCTTTTCTTTTTTCCTTTCTTTCCTTTTCTTTCTTTCTTTCTTTCTTTCTTTCTTTCTTTCTTTCTTTCTACTTTAAGGTAAAATTTACATCCAATGGAATATATAAATCTTAAATGTAGCACTTGATGAGTTCTGATAAATGCACACACCTGTTCTCCAAAGTTTTCTTTTTTTGCATTCTGAATTTTTACTGAAGTGTAAAAATCATACAGAAAAGTGTACATATCTTCAAATACATAACCCGACAGATTCTCACAAACTGAACACAAAAATGTAAGCAATATCCACAAGGCCCCCTGTGTGCCTCTCTAGTCCCCACCCCTCACCCCACTTCTTTTAATTCACCTTTCTTTATATTTTAGTGAAACGGTTTTTCCAGTTACTAGTCACAGCCCCCTCCCTCTTCCTTTTGTAAATAGGCCATGAGTCCTGGAGACTGCACAAAGAGCCAAGTAGTTTGCATCACTGGGAATCATTCCACCTTTCTGATAATCAAAAAACTCCACCTTTAAAAAAAAATTAGGGGTCCCTGGGTGGCTCAGTTAAATGTCCGAATTCAGTTCAGGTCATGATCTCACGGTTCGTGGGGTGGAGCCCCGCATTGGACTCTGTGCTGACAGCAGCTCAGAGCCTGGAGCTTGTTTCAGATTCTGTGTCTCCCTCTCTCTCCGGCCCTCCCCTGGTCGCGCTGTCTCTCGTTCTCTCTCTCAGAAATAAATAAAACATTAACAAATTTTAAAAAAAATTAACATTCACTTGGTGGGATGAGCTTTGTCCCAAAGTCCTCCTTCACGAAGGAAGCTAAGACTGTTTTCTCCCATTTGCTGCCTCCGCACGACCATCAGCCAAGAGACTTACTTTGTATGAAGTCTAGTAGAAGCCCCAGCTGGGGCTTAAGCCTGTCACCCAGCTCCCCAGTCCCGCCTCATAGCGTATATGCAAATAAAGAGCCTGGGACAAAATTTTAACAAACGGCTTTAATTCAGTCACTGTGCCAAACCATATGTGTCAGTTAACAAGTTTTACACAAGAACATTGACCAGCTGCCCGCCTGCGTGCTGGAGGCGCTGAGGAGTGGGCCCTCTCTTGCTGTCCTGTGTCTTAAGAGCCTGGACTGGACAAGTGGAGCTCCTTTCCTTGAAAGGAGGGGGTTGAGAATGCTTCTGTCCCCAACCTGGTCTTCAGGGTCAATGGCTACCACATGTGCTAGGAAGCAGTATCTCTTGCGCCCCTCACACGTTGATGAGCGTCATACTCCTGTTTTCCTAATACCCATAGCGTGTGAAAACGGCAACACAGAATTAACCAAAGGGAAGGAGAGAGAAAGGATCGGAGACCTTTCATGTCTGTCTTAAGGCATAACAGCCAGTCCTTCAGTCTGGTTACTCACCATACAACTTCTTTCCAGAACGATGTTCCCTCACTCTCCTTTTCTTGGCAGGGATACTAAAAGGAGTGGTCCAGCTCAAATTCACCTCACCAATCATGCCCACTTCCTCCCAGAAGCCTTCATTCTGTCACACAGGCCCTATGTGTTCCTGCTCGAGCATCTTCCTCTCCAGTAAAAACATAGTTTGAAAACATCTCCATAGGCATACTCTGCAACCCATCTTTCTGCCACACATCAACCATGCCACTGTGGACCTAGAAGTTTCTCAGTCAACCCGTGTTTTATGACAGACAGGCCAGGACATGAGTTCTGGCGCACCTCAGACTGGGACCAGCCTTGCTGTCCTTGTGGGGTGAGCTGCATCCACAGCAACACAAAGCAAGCCAGGGGAAAGTCACCTCAAACTGTTCTGGGGGCCAGACCTACACGACACTAGTCCCTCCCGGCTGCCCCGAAGGCTCATCCCTCCATATGGGCAGAAAGTACTAACACAACCCCGCAGACAAGATGGGGGAACAGATGTATAGGAGAAAAAGAAAGGAGGTAACAGGTATTTAGGGCAATGAGAGATCTTGCTGCTAAAGGGTAAGAATTGGCTGGCTTCTGGTCTCTCTTGGTTTCATCTGTGTACATTTTGCTTGTTTGTAATGTCTTAGATTCTACAGCCTGAATGTCTCCCCGGTGCCCAGCATTTAGATGCAGGAACCCACGTCCTTGACGTTGAGACAATCAAGGCTAGATTCTCCCTAAACCCTCTGAAAAGACATCAACACAGCACAGCTGACCAACAAATCTCAAGGAAGAAGAGGAAAGGGGAGAGGAGGCGGGTGGTACAGAGGGGGCATAGGGAAAGTGGTTCTGCCTAACAGGCACGAGTGAGTTGACTCTATCATCTTATTTCTGAAACTCTTTTTAAAAAAGAATTTTCTGAGGCAGCTGGGTGGCTCAGTCAGTTGAGCATCCAGCTCATGGTTTTGGCTCAGGTCATGATCTCGTGGTTTGTGGGAACGAGCCCTGCGTTGGGCTCTGTGCTCACCACATGGAGCCTGCTTGGGGTTCTCTCTCTCCTCCCTCTCTGCTCCTCCCTTGTTTTCTCTCTCTCTCTCTTCCAAAATACATAAGCTTAAAAAAGGGAATTTTCTTTTTGTATCAAATATTGCTAAATTCCATGGTTCGAGTGGCCACTGATTGTCCTCAAGATTATAACAATTAAAATTGTTAGATTTTTCTTTTTGAAATGGCAACATACCCACCTCAAGCTTGGAAATAAATGCCAAATCCCTCTAAATCCTCTATAAAAAGACTAAAGTAAAAGAAATGACCACCACACAGATAAAGTAGGTAAACAGATAGAATAAAACAGTGAAGATCAATGGGGGTAAGGAGGAAGTTAGGAGAGAGTTGTTGGCTGGAGAGCAGAAATGCCTGGCTCTTAGCTGCTCTTCCATTTTTTAAAAATTTGGTTTTAATGTTTTATTTTTTTCTGAGAGAGAGAGAGAAAGAGAGAGCGAGCGTGAGCAAGGGAGGGTCAGAGAGAGAGGGAGACACAGAATCTGAAACGGGCTACAGGCTCTGAGCTGGCTGTCAGCACAGAGCCCGACGTGGGGCTCGAACCCACGAACCGTGAGATCATGACCTGAGCCGAATTCAGACGCTTAACCGACCGAGCCACCCAGGCGCCCCTGCCCTTCCATTTCTGTTCAGTTGTTTTAACACATGTTCTGTTTTCTTTCATTTATTTCTACTGTAGCTGTGGACAAGCAAAGTCCACGATTCTTTGAAACTTGAGGCCTGACTCTCCCCAAATCCTCAGCAAAGACACTATTTCATCGGATTTTAATAGCCAGATGTGAGGATGAGGTCCTTGCTGATTTTTGCTTAGACTGGACTTAACAGCTTCTAGTGCTGCTTGTATCTTATGCATTCTATTTGGTTAAACTTGTTGTTGCTATTGTTTGGATAATGGCCTTTTCCTCTGGTTAGACCAAAACAGTGTGCAGAGGGAGAGATTAAAGAGATGAGAGAAGGCAGAGAAAGACTGGAGGCAATCGTAGTGCTCACAGATAGGATGAGCTGAAACTCTCCTTTCTTAGTTTCTATAGTTTAGGTATCTGTGCAGTTGACTATTTGCCTCTGTGTGACTAACAATGGCAGTGTTTGTTGGAA